ACCAGAACATATACCTTTAATATTTTTACTCCCTTCTGTGGCTGTCAATTACAATGGCTTGAATATTCTGTGAAACCTCAACTTCAGGACTTCTTGATCCTCCGAGACAGATACTTCTCTGTCAGGCTTCTGAGTGACAAGCGGATATTTCATGCCCAGAGAGTATTCCCTTAGCAGTAACCCGGGCATCCAGTGCATTTACCACAACTGCTTTTAGTGTGTTTCCTCAGGTAGGGGAGCAAGGCAAACAAAAAAGGAACCGCGCAGCAGCATTTATCCTCCAAGACATGTCTGGAGGCCTGACCTCCTGGCCTGGCCAGGCCTGGCCTGGCCAGCACTATCAGCTGTTCCAGCTGGAGACGTTCGCCTGCTTAAATGTGCTACCAAAAGACTGCACGCGCACGAATTAGGGAAGTGATATAGATGTTGTTTGCATCTGGTAGTGCATAAAATATGGAAATGACCAGTGAGGTCTTTCTTTTTTACCTTGAACTCTGTGCCTTAGCTAGAGCCATGGGGAGCTCCACAGTCAGCAAAAGTCAATAGTTACGGAGGAAATGGAAAACAGTTGGGAAGAAAATTGCAGGCAGTGGCTGGCAGTTTCCGTAGGCTTTGCCTGAGCAGCAGAGGGGGTGCCATAAAAGAAAGGGGCCGACAAAGGCACCCAGGCCCCCTAGAAATGCTTTCAGGGGAGAAATGTCAGGACCTGCATCACCCAAAGATAGACCAGCCACCCGAGGGAGACCACTGCTGGTGGAGAGAGGTGTCCATTTAAGGGACTGTGCATCCAGGCCACTCGCTTTCTCTGCTCTGGTGGATGGGCTGTAATCGGCTCTCCCTGGAGTCAAAGGGTGGGTTGTCCTCAGGCCCCCAGGGAGGGACCTATCAGGGGCAACCAGACTCCTGCCCAGATGCGCTTCCAAACACCCATCCCATCTCAGGAAGAGCCAGCAGATAACGTACGCTCATGTTGTGTACGTGAGGTGTCCTGCCCTGCTCTTTTAGTTTTGGGGAAAGGAGTGTGATAAGCAAGAACTCAGATCTGTTGTCTTTCTGAAAAGCTGCCAGCAGCAGGTCCAATTTGCATAAGACCTGTCTGCAATGAGATGCTTCACTGACAGGTGTATGCCTAGTTTATGGAAATGCAGTATGCTTCGAGGACAGTTCAGAAGGATTTACAGGTGACCTGCAATAAAGACAGGTCATGGGACTAGCTGGAGCCACACACCAACACCAAAGCTGCCCGCTGAACAGTGAGGTACGGGGGTTAACCACACCAAGTGATGTTGTCACGTATGATGTTGTAATTCTTCATTCTGCAGAAAATAATGAATCGTCTCCTTCTCAGAAAAAAAAATTTAAAAGCTAATCTGGAAAACTCTCAATTAACTCTATTTTAATTTAGGGGGATTGGTTCTGTTATGCTGCTGTTTTCTTAAAAGATAGTGAGTGTAGAGAGTCTGGAAATAGTATATTTGAGCTATTTTGGAATAACATGTGAAGGAAATGAAGCAGGGGGGGAAAAAGTCAGCTTTTTTGTATGCTATGTACCAGATATTCAACTTTAAACACCTGACAAGTTTTTAAGAGACTTTAACCCAGTAAACTGCTTACTCTGAGCTTATCTGAAAAGGCAAAGGAAAAAACAAAAAGAATAGTCTTGAACGTCGGCTTGCAGCATAGGTAGTGTTTTCAACATAAAGGTTTCACAAGATGTACTAATTTTACCGCTCTGGCAGGAAACTGAGGCTTTTGAATTTAATGAAGCATTTCTTTGAAGTCATGCTAAAATGATGAGTGTGACTGTGTTGCACATCTGCCTGTCTGCACAGAGCAGACCATTTCGACTTCCTTTTCCGAGACCCTGCCAGGAGCAGGCCAAGAGAGTTACGTATTTACCAAAACTTCATCAAGCAAAGATGGAAAAAAGGTGGCTCTTCTCCCTCTTTTGTTTGCTCTTGGTGCCCAGCGTTGCAGGTAAGCGTGTCAGTGGGACGCCTTGACTCAGCTTATGATGGAGGGTGGCGAGGGGCAGGGTGGCATGTGCAGAGGGAGGTTGGTGTGTCTCATTAGGGCAAGCTGTAGCTACTGGTAATGATTTTCAGTTTCCTGACAACTTTCTAATAACCCTAGTTATAATGTGCAGCTAGTAAGGAGTAAATGGCTTGTGCTGTCTAGCAGATTAGTTTATTCAAAATGCCTAACCTGTTTTCACCAGAATAATCACTGAGATGAGCTCACTTCTATTTAGGGCAACATGTGCTCGTCTCCAATGGGCAAAAAGGAAAACTGCTTCCAAAGAGCAAATAAAAAATACCTATCTCTCTCTCGCACACACACATACCTATGTATGCAGAGAGAGGAAGAGTTGAAACACTTAAAGGTAAGGATAAATTGTACAGCTGCAATCCCTTAAATGGATTCTTTCCTTCCTCTTCCCCACCCAGCCCTACATGCTGTGTTAAAGGCTTGAGAAACAAGTTTGTCATTGGGAGTAAAACTTCCAGAAAAGCTGAGTAAGGAGAACTGCATCCCCATCAAAGGGAGTTTAAACCAAAAATGATCCAGGGAAAACCAAGCAAAAGCCTGATGCTCACAACCCCCTCCACCCCCACCCCCTCAACAGACTGATCATGCTGAATACAGGAGTATTTATTACAGCTAGCAAGAAGAATTTTGTAGGATACACTTTTTTCCAGTTAAGAAAGGAAAAAGTTCATGTATTTGACTGGCATGGTAAGATGCATCTCAAAATCTGGCATAGGCTGTTCCTATTTTTTACATCACTGCCGCAAACTGGATTTTAAAAGAAAGGAAAATATTTCATATGTGTATTCACAGAAAAGAAAAGTTCTCAAATGCAAAGAAAGAACTAGAAGCCTCAAGACATGCACATGCAGGAAAGCAATACTATTTAGGGAAAAATAGGACTGTTGGTTTTTTTTCCCCGAGGATGAAATCCTCACTGAAGTCACTCAAAGGTGAAAGTGGACACCATCATGCCATTTGTGGAGGTCAGACATCTAAATGTCTGGGAGTTACTCTATTAAGTTTCAAATGGACCACAAGTATGGGCTAATGGACAGCATTTGATTTGGAAAAATAAAGTTGGCATAAAATGAGACTAATTATATTGAGATGCTAACAAAAAGAACACTTTTGCATGAAAGGATTTCAGTTAAAATAACCTGAAGTGCTAGGCTACTAACAAACAACACAAATTAAAATGTGATTTCTACATATGTAACTTTTTCATCTTAATATAAAATATTCAAGTAATTCTTGGTAGGCATTCTTTACATGGTCTTTTGACCTAATACAGCATCAGTATGAATATAAGAGAGAACTTGCTAGGTGTCCCTTGCCTGCTAGTCTGATCACAAGATTGTTAATCACTTTTTACTTAACTTTTACTGATGCAAAACTTGCAGTGAAACCAGTGAGCATTTGCTATAATAAGCTCCTTGGACTGACAAAAATAGTTTTCAGTAATTTTTCTCACAGCACTTGTCACTCAGGCTTATTTTTATTTACCCTTTTACATCATTCCGTCTCTTGGAAGTCAATTAAAAGATGAACAGAGCATGCAGAGCAATAAAAAAACAAAGATTAATGTTGGCCATGGCCATTCAGTAGCTTTGTTCTCCATGCACCTAGTCTCTATGTGTTCATGTCACAATTCAGTGGTTAGGTACCAAATCTCAGCCAGCTCTGCGGCGATGTGGGACTCTGCCCTTCTTCTTCTTCCCTGTCAAACCGGAGCTGTGGGTGCACCAGGTCCCTGTCTTGCTCCCAGCTAAGCTGGCAGAGCCCAGGGCACGCCATCCCCCCTGCGGGTACCATCAAGGCTGCCTGGCCCTTGGCAGGGCATCCCCTGGCTCAGGTGCCTCGGACCCCTGTACCACACAGCAGAGCAGATGTCAAAGCAAAGAAATTGGTACCCATTTTTTTCAAGTAAAGAACGTGAGCAGTGGGCACTTGCTGCTGTGGGGAGTCAGCGGTGTGGCTGGTGGAACTGTGGGGCAAGCTCCCAAAGCAAATTTACAGTGATGTTTTGATACACAGGGAGGATAAAATTCAATGGAGATGGGGGCGACAAGTCCGTACCTAAGAACATCTGTACAAACTCTTTTTTTTTTTTTCTGGGGACCTGCATGTCCTTTTGAAACAGGGCCTTTTTGTGCGTGGCTCTGTGGGTGTGATTGATTACTTGTCTCACTACGACTCCCCCATCCATAAATTCTTCATCTCCTTGAGTTTGTCAGTGCCCTGCATACAGAGGTTTGGGGACTGTGAGCCTCTTGTTCATAGGAGGGAGAAAGGGAGATAAATCAATTTTACTACAGCAGCAGCAAAACCAAGTAGTACAGGCTCACATTGAAAGCCCCTTCATTTCACCGATCCGTTACTCCTTTATATGGCACACTAAGGACTGCTACCATGCTTTATGAAATTAATTGAGGAAGAAACCATACCTACTGGGGCAGCTCGCTCTGACACTGAAACAGACACTTGTTTAGGCCATGCAGAAGCTGTTTAATAATATGGAGGTAAAAGAACAGCTTTCTCTGTTGAAGCAGCAAAGGCAAAGGCAGTGGGCAGGGGAAACAGTGTGGGGCAGAATTAGCCAGCAGGGATAACTCATTCGTTCTTGCAAAAAGAGCTGGGGAATAAGTGGGCCCAGCTTCTGCTTTATTTATAACACTTGCAAGATTTCCATTTTCACAGAGGCCCTCTGAGTTCCCATTTCTCTCCTGCGAGCGTGACAGGAGCTCCCCGCCCTCTTCAAGACAAGTGTGCATTTGCTCTCCTGGTTGTCTCTCAGCAGTTTGTACTGGTAGAGATCAGCTGTAAAACTCCTTGCTGGAAAGCCTGTTGTCACAGTTGTAGGGTCTTTGTGGTTGTCTGTGGCTAAGGCACCAAAGCATGTCAAAGACGGCTTAGGATAAAACTTTGTTTAGCCATTACTTGCACTGAAAAAGGTCCCATTTGTTTTTAAGGCCAGCCTGAAGACGTCATTACACAAACAGAAGTGGTCCACGCTTTGCCGGGTACTAACGTGACCCTGGTGTGCAGCTTCCCAAAATCACACACCACCTACATAATACAGACACAGTGGTCCAAGACTGATGACACCCAGCTTACCAGAATAGCTGTTTATCACCCCATTTATGGCACCCATTACTTCACATTTCCTGAGGCTTCTCACAACTTTTCGGTGTCCTTCAGCACAAGGAAGTGCTGCAACTGGGATGCTACAGAGGCTTTGTGTTCCCCCAGTCCAAACGTCACATCTGAGTGCAATCGGTGGGCTCTGTATCTGAAAAACGTTACCGTCTCCCTTAGCGGGCAGTACGAGTGCAGTTTTGCTACTTACCCACATGGGACAAAGGCTGCAAAAATTCAACTTATTGTCAAGGCAGAAGGTAAGTGATTACAAATAAGATGTTGGGTTTTTGTAACAGGGGTGACGGGGGGTGGAATATCAGGATAGATGGCCATTTCTTGGTCAGTGATGGTGACTCGTTTGGGGTTTGCAATGGTTCCACTGAATGTCTCTGTCTACACAGTTTCCTATTTACCAGGCACTCTTTAGCTGGATAACCAGCAGCAGACTAGGAAACCTTATTTGTTTGGAGGAATATGAAATTAGATAGCAAGGAAAAAAGGTGGTGAGGTGGGCAGTTTCCACATTTTTGTTTCAGAGAAACATGATGCAGAAAAGACTGGGGAGCGGCTCAGCATATGGTGGGGCTGAGGATGCTGGATCTCCAAACCACACTGTGCTGCTGCTATGGGCGTGCAGCACTGGGGACATGAAAAAGAAAACACCCCTGTCTGGTCGAGGCTGAGGGCTGGCATCTTCAGGGTGTGCTGGGTGTTAGATCAATGGAAGGATGTGTGTCCCCACCATCAAAAACAAACTGGAGCAAAGTGAGGGATTGCTTAGGATGATCACAGGAACGGAGACTTGGCTGCTTCTGTCATCCAAAAGGAAGCTGGAAAGCAGCATGACTGCTCTTGGTAAGTAAGCCTCAGGGGAGACTGTGAACTCCAGGGAGGATATTTAAATTATCCTGGCAAAGGAACAAATGGGTTTAAATAGGATGTGAATGGATTTGACTACAAATTAAACAACGGTGGCAACCATTAGTGTGGCAACTTTGGGAACAGCTGTTTAATGCCAGCAGTGAGGGCAAAAGTCCAAACTGCCATGAAGATGGAGCTGGGCGGGGATGTTGGGCAAGCTGGGCAAGCTTGTTGTTGTGCACATGGGGGACTGGATTTGATGATCCCAGAAACCTCTTCCTGACCCAGGCTTCTGTTAACAAACCAAGAAGAATTAAAGTAAATGCAACAAACCTGGCACGGTTTCAGTTCAGAGCTGCAAGGCCAGCGTGCTCACCCTGATTGTGTCCAGGGCTGTAGATGCAGCACGTGTTCAAGGGTTAGAAGCAAGGTGGGCACAGGTGACGTAAGGGGTAGCAGAGGGCAGCAGAGCACTGGGGCAGCAGCATCCATGGGCACAGCGCTCCCAGTGCCTCTTTGGCCTGCATCGTGAGGCCAGACCAGTGGCAGGAGAGACATTGGTCCTCATGCCGGATCACATTGGTTCTGCAGCAGAAGGAGCCTTGTCTCCATGGGGTCGGGGACAGGGCACGGCTCCTCAGCAGCTGCAGCAGTGGCCTCCCTCTGAAGCAGGCTGGCAACTCTGGACAATCAAACTCTGGGTCCTGTGCAAGCCTCATATGCAGGGATGTTTAACCCAAGCTGCCGCCTCACTCCCTGATGGCCCCTGCATGGCAGTGGCTCCAAGCATTTTGGTGATGTTACCCCAGAGTCACAGCTCAGGGGCGATCCAGTGGTACCTTCCGGCCCTGTTGAACTTGTTGAGGCAAAATTAGAGCCAGCACCTCTGCATGTCCCATAGAGGATGGGTGTGTTTAAACAGTACATGCTGGATAATTGTGTCAAGTTGCTGCCGCTTTACCTGCTGTACAGGGGTGTGCTGCGGCAGTCTCCCCTTTGGGGATTTTCCTGCACTTCACAGGGCAAAGGGGCTGGATCAAGCAGAGAGCAGTGAGGTATGAACAGTGCTGGTAACCGTGTGAAACCCTCCCATGCTTCTGTTCTTCATGTGATTTTTCTCTGTCTCTTCTTTAATATAGTAATAGTGCTAATCAAGCATTGCTCCTTTTCTCTTGCTAGTGCCCTTGATTGATACTAGCATGTTCAATGCCATTATTGCTGTCTACATGTTAAACGTGGGCAGCTCTTCTTCATATCAGCATTGTTGTGGCTTTTTTCAGCAACTGCATGATGTAGCAAGCTGTGCTACTGATGACTGCTTGCTAGAGAGCACTAAAAAATTCAGTTTGCAACATACCTGTTGCAGATTTGTATTTTAAGGTAACCACATCTTTCGCAATGAACCACTTCCACTCCAAAGAAGGGGAAAGACCTTAATCCTGCCTACGAGTGGGATGGAGAAGGGTGCTAGTCATTAATGAAGTACAGCTCGCAACTACATCAAAATGACGTGAATCCCGATGGATTCAACTTGTAGATACTGCAAAAAGCCCGCAGAGCAACAGGCCTACATAGGACTGACAAACACAGAGGACTGTAGCCAAAAGGCTGTTAATGGAGATGGGAATCAAAGATGGGGGGAAAATAAGCAGCTGGAACATGTGACTGTGAGAACAGGCAGAGGCTGTTTGCAGACTGAGCTCCTGGGGCAACTACTCATCTTCGTACTTCTCATACGCTGCACGGCACATTTGCATGGTAGCTTGTCCCAGCAAAGTCTCCTGTGCGGTTTTCTTCCTGGGGAAGCTATAGATTTACTTCCTTTGCCCTTTCTTTATCCTTCCCGCACTATCCAGACCCTTGAGGGCTTGTGCAGTCTGTGTCACACTGTGATACCTGACTCCCCAGCTGCTTCGCTCTGGTGGAGAGTGGAGATGAGCTGCTTCTGCTGCTGGATCTCCTGGGCACCACTCTGGGCTCTGCCTTTCTTCACGTCCCTGTGTCACAGGCTGCATGCTGGCACTGTCACTCTGTGCTCAGGTGCCAGATATAAAGGAAGTTACAGTCACCAGAAAGTCCCCACTGCCAAATAATCTAACAGTCTGGTTCTGCTAGATATTCTCCCTCCCCTCAAGATAAAAAACAAATAAAATATATTTCTATTCTATCTCAACATGCAAGCCAGAGTTACCAGGGGAGCAAAGTTCAAGAGTGTCCCTGCAGCGTGGGCTCGTGCCTGCCCACAAGGAAGAGGGAAGGCAGGTCTGTGCGGTACAGCGGCAGCAGGCAGGCTGCGGCAGGGAGGCTGGCCGACACAGCAGGCTGCACGGCACTACCGCCCGCCGCCGGGCTGAGGGTCGGAGAGATCAGCGCTCACCAAAGCGCTCGTGGCATCCCCTGGCCATCACCGCTGCTCTTCCTGTTTAAATGCACGCATGCATGCAGACCCGAAGTTTGGACCACAGCTGTGCTCTGTTCAGTGAATTGCTCTGCCCTTCCACGGGTGGACTGGAGCCCTGGACTGGGAATGGGTAGGGTGGGAGATGCTGAAATGTTT